GACCAATTCTGCTTACTAAAAATGCCCATGGGCCGCCCAAGAGCCCAAGGTGGGCGGGCCTACTCTTAGAAGCCCGCCCATGGGCACGCCCACGATGGGCGGGCCTGATTACATAAGGCCCATGGGCCTGGCCCATCCGCCCGCCCATGGGCATTGTCACAGTCTAGCTATGAAATCGGCAAAAACCTTGTCCGAACAACGATGTGATGAAGGCTTGAGATATAGCCTCCACCCCGCATTAAAAAAAGCTCCATAAAGAGAACTCTGAAAACTTGCGGTTAGGTTGTCCTTAGATGTTAGTTAGTTGCAACTTTGTGCTGAGTCAGGAGTAAGACGTGGTCACCGTATCCGGCTTGGTTGGATGGTTTTTGTTGGACAGCCAGGTTTTCAAGTCCCAATTTGTATGACAACTTGAACGTATCATCGTATGAGATGAGAGAGAGTGGTTGAGGCACTGGTTTTGAAGTTTTTGGTGCACCAGAATAGTCCTGCACGTCATACTGTGCTGGGTGGGGCGGTGAAAAGACGGATATTTCTGTTTGGCCATGTCTATGACACGCGTCTCCATGGCTTACCTCCCTCCTCCCAAGTGCCCTTGCGCGCGAATCATTCTTTCACCGTCTATTTCGTCACTAACATGTTCTTCTAATAACCTACCCCGTACATCGTCTCCTACGTACCTCTAGGGCTCCGAAAGGGATATGGATATTGATGAATATTCAAGGTTATTTATGAATTCCATTATGTTGAGGAATTGGCAAGGCTATATCGGGAGATTCATTCTTTTCTTGAAAAGCGTGGAAAACTAGTGTAATAGGGGAAAGATCACCACGTCATCAGCAGTCCAGACGCTCCCAGGGCTGTACGGTGTACTTTGTATCAAGGCAGATGCGTGATTGCTTGGCAGAAGTCCCAAAAATTCGATTCAATGCAGCCATAGTCAGACTTTCCAAGGTCCCAAGATTGACTGAAATATCAAGCCCGCATTACTTCATTTGTATGATATAGGTCATCCGCCGAAGATGGCCAGATGCTCCCGAGACTCCCGAACCCAGAAAATTTTAGTTTTGGTCCAGTATAGTGCCAAGAGTTCTGCAGGATTCGAGCTATCTGTATGGGTTACGAGTAACTTTGTAGGCCTATGTGATATGGTTGGTCAAGGGCTCATGAGTTACAGAATCCAGCTTATTTAGCAAGGAAGTCAATGACTGTATAGGCTAGTGCATGCATACTGAAGTATAAAAAAAGAGAGGACAGGGCGTGGATCATGCCCAATGTCCACGGCCTTAGCTCCACGCCCTGAATAATACGAGCTTGGAGTATTGGAAATCAGCGCCGGCGAGCTTTTTATTCTTTTATTGTTTTTCTTTTGTTTTTTGATTTATTCCTTCGATCGAAATTTTAGTACTAATCCACAGTAGGGAATAAGGTATTAATTCGCTCCTACGGAGTACGGACTACTTGATTCCAGAATCCTGAGCTCCCTCATATACTGCCTTCCCTCGCCGCGGAGCCCTCGGCCCTACAGCTCAAATCCTTGAACTCATCATTCGGCATCGTTACGTCACAACTCAAATAGAGAGCTTCGACCTCCGGTTGAAGCTCTTTTCCTCTGCACATAGCATCACACAACAGCCATGCGACCCGTAACCTCAGCGGCCTTCGCCGCTCTCATCGCTCTCGCGACCGCTCACGACTCTATGGACATGGACATGGCGCACAACGCGCCCGAACCGACTCCAGCAACCCATACTCCCGACGGTCCGATCAGCTATTTTGCCTATAGAAAGCATTCCAGCTCCATTATAGCCCATATCGCTCTTATGGTAGCGGCGTGGTGTTTCGTTCTTCCTATTGGTAAGGTTGATCTGAATATTCGAAAGCCCCAAGCTGACTTTTGCAGCTGTCATACTCAGTATCGCACGCTCCAAACTCGCGCTCCTATCCCAGTTCTTGTTTATGGTGGTTAATGCCTCCGGTCTCCTTTTTGGAATCATCTACAATGATCAGACACCAGATCTCTACGTTAACAACGCTCATCATAAGCTTGGGTGGGCTGCTAGCTGTGTTGTTGGCGCTCAGGTCATTTTGGCTTTGTTACTCACTTATGCTGGACGTGGGGATGTCGGTTCTACTGCGACCTATGAACATAATCATGCTGCCTTTCTGCCCGTTTCAACGGATGATCATGATGACCAATACCGGGTGCATCAGCATCGCTGGTCGAGGGACAGTGGACAGGAGACTGATAGTAATTCGTCGATCCATAGTCCCAGATCGCCTTCCGAGTCGCACGCTGATTATGATGGCTTTGAGAAGCCCGAGTTGCCCAAGTTTGTGACTCTGGGCCTGCACGAAAATGCTGTCAGTCGATTCCTCTCCAAGCGACTGCTTGGTTTGATGCCTCGTTCGGCTCTCCGGGGCTTGAACCTTGTCTATAATATCGTCGATCGGGTTGTTCTTCCCCTTGGATTTGCTGCCATTGCGACTGGCGCTGTCACCTATGGCGGTATCATGCGAGGACGTGATGTCTTCAACGGACTTGCGCACTTCATCAAGGGTGGCATCTTTTTCTGGTATGGTGTTCTCACTCTGGGACGCTATATTGGCTGCTGGGCGGATCTCGGCTGGGCATGGAACAAGAAACCCCCTGCGTCTGTTGTCGGCTGGAAGGCCAAAGTCCCTTCCGGCGAAGCGATGGAATCCTTTGTCATTTTCCTGTATGGTGTGACGAATGTCTTCTTGGAACATTTGTCCAACGCGGGCCAGGCTTGGTCATCTACCGATATCGAGCACGCTTCGATCTCTGTGCTGTTCTTCGGCGGTGGCCTGGCTGGCATGCTTTTTGAATCCACCTGCATTCGTGGCTGGCTGAATAGTACCGTCCTTGAAGCCTCTGCTCATCAAACCTCGGACGAAGCCTGGCAGCCCCCCAAATCCCAGCGTCTGTCCTTGAATCCAATGCCGGCTTTGGTCATCCTGCTGCTGGGTATGCTGATGGGATCGCACCATCAAGATAGTATGACATCGACCATGGTGCACAAACAGTGGGGTAACATGATGGTTGGGTTTGCGTTGGCACGGGGCATGACATACGTCCTGCTATATCTCAAACCACCGACCTCGTACCTCCCGGCACGCCCTCCAACTGAAATAATTGCTGCATTCTGTTTGATCTCCGGAGGTCTTATTTTCATGTTGAGTGTAAGTTGCTCCCCTGATTTGGACAATCTTGAGATCATCACTGACTGATTTTAGACACGCAATGTAATTGAAGCGATGGAACATTATCAGTTGGATGCTATGTTCACCTTCACCGTCGGTCTGGGCTTCAGCGCTTTCATCATGGCGTACGAAGTCTTGATTATTGCTCTCAAGGCCTGTACCGTCAAGCGTATCCAGCGCCCACGACTCAAACCCCGTTTCCCGTGAATCTTTTACGATCCCTTCATTTGAACCTTTTACACTTATGATTTCTTGTTTATGCTGCAACGGTTTGATTATCTTATGGACTTTACTCATGCAACTTAATAATGTCAAGTCTACGTTGACGTGGACTTTCGCACTGAAGCTGGAAATTAATATTCGTAGTACAAATACCAGAGTTCGTTCAAGAAAAGAGTCAACAGATAGATATCTAGGTGCCTGTAGAGCAGTCGATACTCGTATTGAGGACAAGTTAAGCTTCTGTACCCCGGAGTTAGTATAGGATTTATCCGCTTAACCCCGGTGCCGAGTGCCGAGCAATATCAATTTTGAACTGCGAAAACTCAAGCCAAAGGCATCGAAGATGCTTCAGATCGCGGTCAACAGCATATATCTCGCGGGGCTCATCTTGGCAATACACAGCCTTGAGATCACGCACAACAAAGACCCCCTGCACCCCGAATGCATGAACCGAGGGGTAAGTGGAGTAAAAAGGGGAATTGGAAAGAATCAGCAAATGTGATTGGATAGAACCAATTGATGAAATCAGAAGCAG